AAACAAAAACATTTTTTAAATCAAATTTTTATTTTCAAGGTTGATGAGCAATGAAACAAAGGAAAAAAGTAACAGAACATTTACTTTTGTTTTTAATCCACCAGAAAGGTTCCTATTAATTTATTTTTCTTATATTTGCAAATAAAACGCAAATGAAAACTGAAATATTCAACTTTTAAAATAAACATTAGAAAAAATTCAAAACAAATGAACATTACAAATAGAAGTCAGTACAGTCTCTGACCAATGGCATTTCAAATCTATTCACAAAAACCTAGTATTGTAGGTAGAACTGAATATCGGTTACATTAATGGATTTCTAAATCAGGGTTCTAAGAAAGTTTTATGTCTTAGGAACAAAGGACCTGAATATATAGGATTAACAGCCCATTTCTCATTTTGTCCTAGGTTCACGAAAGCTTATTTGAGTTAGGTGTTCAAGTGACCCAAATGAAAAATCATTTTTATTTTAATTTTATGGGATACTACAGAAATAAGGAATTGAGTAAAATACCCTGTGAATCATCTCAAATTTAAATCACTTTATTCATTTCTGTGGAACCGAAAATACCATGTTATCCAAATAAATGATCCCAATTACGTAAATATAAAGAGAAACAAATTTGCCAAAATTCCCACAAGAGGACTGCATTTTAAAATAAAATTAATTGGCTCTTGATAAAGATAAAATTGAGACAAGCTAAGGTTTATATAAAACTCAAATCCATAGGCACATTTCATGTAAAGTGAAAGAACGGATATAATAAGTTAGAACATTCATTTTAAGATAGAATAATTAATTATATTAATACAATATCTTCTACTGGTATTAAGTTCAAACTGTTGTGAAAGTCAATTCAGAAGTTGCATCTATATTCTCTAAGAAGAGGGTTTCCTATCTTCAGAGGGCTTCTTGTCTTCCAGTGTATTTTTATAAATTCAAGAAAGGAGGGTAGTATTCTGCTTTCTTCTCAACAAAGGAGGGGTAGTAATTTTTTAGGGGCAGTAATTTCTAAACTGAAGGTGGTTTTAATTTTGAAACCTGTATAGGTGGATTTACCCTACAAAAAGGCTGGACTTATTTCAAATTTAGCTTCTTAAAAATGTGAATATTGCAAATTATTAAGAAGAAAACATCATATTAAAATATACCATATGTATTTCTTTGTAGACACTAAGTTATTTTAGCCACAGATGATGATGAGACTATGGCACTTTGGTATATCTGATATCACAATTGTAAATCAATAAAAATGTGTTCATTTATAAACATAAAAATATTTTTCATATGTAATTACTTGATAAAAGTAAAATAACTGAACTGCATTCATCATACCCTTTACAAATATATAAATACTTACCACCATTAACAGAGTATGATCTATTAACTGGAAAATGTGGAACATCTCCTTCATTAATTAGTCTCAGATCTTGTTCTCTCTGTAGCTCTCTGATTATTCCATCAAGAATGCTTTCGTCTTGGTCATTGGTTTGCTGCCCAATTACCTGTTCTACCACCTCACCATCACCTTAATGAGACCAAAGATAGAAAGCCACAAAATCACTTACATTTTAGTATATCCTCTAAATGTAGCAATTAACTTAATAATTTTCTAGAGAAATGATTA